TCCGATTGGCCATCAACTTCATATGCAGGAAAACGTATTCGGTCAAAAGAAGAAAAGATTTCTGTTATTTTGGCCAAACGTTCAAAGGATACGAAGGATACAATATTAAGTATCCAAGAACAAAATAAATTATTGGCGACAAGTATGAAAACACTGTGTGAAGAGGATGATATTTGTATGTTTTTTAAAAGTATTGCTATGACGGTTTAAAAAAATGTCACCGCAAGCGATAAAAGAAGCTAAACTTAGGACACTAACTTTAATCTCTGAGATAGATGACAAATATTCAATTACTCAAACGGCTCAAACACTACCTTATCAATTACCACCAAATTACAATTACAACAATAATATGTACCAATGTCAACTGAGTTCACCAGCAAATTCGTATAGTACCTCAACATTAACACAAGAGGTTTATTGCCGTTCAATTACGATGACACGTCTAATCTTTAAGTATTTAACTTTTGTAATTTTTTTTTTAACTTTAATAGTTGGTGCTTATTATAAGTTTGCGCATACCAAGGTTCTTAGGTATTTTTAATGTTAAGTTTTTTGTTATATTTTAAAATTCACTCGTTTTGATTAAACTGTTTGTTGATTTTATTTAAAAATAATAAATTAACCATAAGACTGGTTTAATTAAAAACGTATGTTGTTATTTTCAAGAAGTTATATTATTACTATCTATTTATAGCGTAATATTTTGTCTCTTTAATGATAGCATATTCGTGATCTTAATAATATTATTTGAAATAATCAAATATAAACACGTTTAAATATAAAAATGAGAACTAAAATCAAACAAAATAGTACATTTAGATTACCTATTTATAATTAGAATCGTCAATAATAATAAAACACATTTTCGTGGGTAAACACAAAAATATTTACTATAAGTTTGTAATACAAATTACGTATAATAATAATATGATATAAATAATATTAGTATATTACTATGAAATTATGGAACTATAGCACTACTAAATTTTATGTTTGCCACGATACAGCTCCTCCGTTGACAAAATAGTCTTTAAAAATGTCTCTCACTACGATACCTTCTGTGCTTAAAAATCCACTTTCACTGGCCAAAGACGTCATGTCAGCACTTGGAGGTTCTTCTGAATCGGGTTGATCAAAATATCTTTCCACCTATTAAAATACTTGAAAATGTGATACAAGGTTCCTAGTAAGTTTTTGTTGATAGAAATTTCAAAAATGTTGAGCGTAAATCCACCAAAAACTGTTATACGAGTGTCTGAATTTCGAATTTTGACAAAATACTTAAAAATCACAAAAATTCGAGAATTGTTTTGATTTAGAAATTCATAAAATGTTTTCTTTTTAAATTCAAGATTAGAGCATTTAACACATGACTCCTCATAAGTGTGTCTACCTTGAGCCAAAAAAAATGTCTACTGTAAAGTCAAATTATATTTTGATGAGAGTTTGAATTTGAAATTTTTACCACATATGATATTCACTTGGTTTCTCATGGAACGATTTTCTTATTTTGTTATAATTTAACAACAAATAACCGTATAGGTACTTAAAATTTATACCATATGTTTATTTTAATATTTCTTAGAGGAAGGTACTTGGTAAAATGAAAACATTTTTTTACTTGTTTTGAGTTGTTTACTGACATTTTTAGTTTTAAATTATTTTTAGATTTCTTTCAATCATATGGAATACGAACTTGGTCCCTCTGGATTTAATCTGCTCTGGCAATTGACTGTTTATGCTTTTTTTCCAATCGACCTCGTTGGTTGTAACTTGTGGAAACATGGTTTTGGTATCATTATAACCACGAGAAGTTGTGCTAAAAGATATTGAAACAGTACTTTAAAATTTATTTTCAAACGAATTTTATTTGCATTTGAAGTTTGAAAAATCAGCGAATTCAAATCTTACAATAATCTTTTCCAAGAATTTTCGAGTTGAACATCATCCATTTCAGTTACCTAGCCTTACTTGTAGACTAGAGTCCTTTTATATTATAATTTGATCAAAAGTCTAAAAAGCTTCAAAAAAAAAAAAAAAATGCTTAAAAAAATATTGTGACTATATTATATTTTCGATATTTTTTAATTGTTAAACGCTTTCGATAAAAATGATTTTATTTTGCCCATGTATAGTAATATAATATAAAATCAATACCATTCTAAAATTTATAGGTACACTTAGTTCTGTAAGATTAGTTAAAAGAATATTTTCATTGAAGTTTTCAGCAACATTGAACATTTTCAACGCAGACATTTTTCAAATTTTTAATTTTTTTTTCGTGCACGAGTTAGATACATGAATACTAGCATTCAGTATAGGTAGGCGAAGGCCGTAGTCATGTTTTCAACTTCAGCGTATGTCATAATAGCATTAAAAATTTGTAATATTACGTATCAACTACCTATTTAATAATACTAACAAAAACTGTGATAAATATTAATTCATATAATAACGATAGTGATAATATACCGACTATATCGTTGTAATACTATATTGTCGATCAGTGTTTAATTAACAGATGGTCTATAACTTTAAAAAAAAAAAAATAATTTCGTAGTTTTTGAAAATTGTCATGAAAATGTACAGCTCTAGGTACATTGTACATATACGTGTGACGTGTAGTAGTAACCTTTAATGGTATATTACAATAATGTTAGTAGGTACCTACTCAGGGAAGATTGTAGGAATTTAACATTTTATAACAATTTATTAAATGGATTTCATTTATGTATTTATATTTTATTCCGATCAATAATAATAACATAATATAGGAACCTATATAAAATAATGTGTTAGCGTTCGAAAGGTTAATGTGTGTATCGAAGGCTTCAAGGCCATTATAAAAACAATTTTGGAGTTTTGGGCAGTGACAAAAAAAAACGCAGTTTGAAAACCCCTTAAAAACATGTTATTGCGTCGTACGTAATAATTTTGTAATGTTTAACACACGTTTGGGTTGGTAGGTCTCAGCTGGTCAGTGCAGCTCAGGCCCCAGCACAGAATATTAATTGTATAAAAACGTTCTTCTGTCGTGTATTTATTGTAAAGTATGTGCACACTGTGCACACTGTGGCTGTTGGACTGGTTGTAGAATATGGTTAGGAAGTGGTGTTGGTGGTGATGGTGGTGAAGGTGGTAGTGGGCGGTGGTGAAGGTGGGTGTGGGCGGTGGTGGCGGCGCGAGTTGGACGGGTGGAGTAGAGATTACTGATGAAATAATACGCAGTCTACATTGACGGTGGTCTAGCTACTTGCGGTGTGCAAATCAACAAGTAACAACACATCTCAAAAAACCACTTGTTGACGTTATTAAGGTGAGTAGACATAAGTCTAATAATCACTGCAGACGTACTAAAATCATTGTAATGTTGCTTTAAGTATATAAAGTCGTAGACCATATAGTCAATCGTTTTGTTAATCATCTAACTATATACTATTTTTATAGGTTTCAGTCTTTTTTTTTCTTATCATTATAACACAATATTATGTCTATGTCGTTCGCCGTTTCTAAACTCGTATCGTCGTGTACCTATATAATATGGTTAGGCGGGCACCTAGTTGTGTAAGAGTAATGTGGACAAACAAATTATGTCTTGCAATCGTTCCATACCGATACTTACTTTTCACCTGTAACTTGTAAGAATAGTATTCAAATTAAACAATATGTTACTAGGGAAAAGTATAATCGGGCGTTTTAGTATACAATGCAACGCCCAATTTCAACGGAAAATTTTTAAACATTTTGCCCGGGCATAGCACCAATTGACCAAAACATGTTGGGCAATCACAATTAAAAATATATAAAACAGTTTTTGATTTCTTAATAATTTACAATAATTTATTTTTATAGATGAATATGAATGTTAAAGGAAAGAATGATTGAAATTTTAATCAAACTATTGTTTTTTCTATCGATTTTTTAAATTTATTTTTGCAACTTATATAAGGTATCGTGGCACTTGGATGTACTTCGTTTTCCTGCATTTCCATTGATTTGTCTTACACTTTTTGCAATGTTGTGTACGGTTACTACTAAATTGCCGTCATATATCTTAGACCGCCTACATTCGATAATTTTCTAGCCGCTTCTTATAATGACATCGGAAAATATGTTATTGGTACCTACTGTTTCAATGTGGATCAACGACTATTTTTTTGTTTCAAATTGGTTTCTAGTGTTAAGTCGTTTAAGTTTATATTCAGTGGTATCGAAAACGGTGTAATTTCAACTGATCTGGAATTCTATGTACTATATCTCAGGTCCATACTCCCTGATGAAATTATCATACGGCAATAAGACGTTACCATCATATCTTTACTGTATTATTACAGATATCGACACCATATACAGTATCGGCTGTTGTACAATACCAACCGTCATTAGGTTTGATACCATCGTTTACAGAATGCCCAATCGATAATATTGTTATCGTTGTACAGACGCTCGTAAAGAAAAATTACACCCTACAGACGAGAAATCGTGGACGTCGGGACATTAATTTTCAGACATTTTCATTGCGCGCTAAAAATTAAGCACTGTACACACGAGCCCGGCTATTGTATAATAATATGTCCGGGCAATGTAACTAAATTAAATGCAGATTCAATTTTGCCCAAGTCATGACCACTATTTCCGGCACACTTGTCACATGCCCGAGCACTATATATTAAAACGCCCGACATCAAAATGTAATGTATTATTATGTTAAATTTAAACGCAATAGTATTTCCATGTACGTCACATAATCGGACGAATGATATAATATGTATAGGTATCTACCTACACGGAAGTAAAATGATCATACAATTATATTATTGATATAATTGACATTTAAATTTAGGAAAATATAGTTTTCCGGACATTGATGTTTTATGTGTTTCTCGACAGTTTTCCAGATTAACATCATAATTTTGTAGGAACAATCATCGTTACACTTATTATTAGGTCCAAGTATTGGTAGACACTGTAAAATGAACAGTTATTACATTTTACAGTTCAACCATGCCAGGCAACGGATTGTTGGAAACTTCTCCCAACTATGTCATCAACAAAGCTGTTGCGGCGAGATTTCAACAGCTACCCCAACCCAAGGATAAGGTACAAGTCATGTACGTATGGATAGACGGTACTGGACAAGATCTTAGAGCCAAATCCAGAACACTAGACTTTATACCTACAAAACCCGAAGGTATGTCGTCGATTTGTCGTGTATCTAATTACAAATATGCAACAACCTGCCACCTATGTACAATGTATATGCATTATAAGTTGGAAAAAAAACTTGAATAAATGTAAATCACATTTGAGTCATTCTCGTCGAGATTACTGACCATTTGACTGGTTAATTGAATTCATTAAACATTTTTATATATTAAACTAATATGTTTTTAGGTAATTATTCATACTACTATTATGTATATTTATATTAAACGTCTATGAAATTAGGATATCCTGTTAAAACATATTATACAATTTATTTTCGTTCCGATGTTTACTGCTTGTGGATACTAGAATAATTATTGTAGCAAATTAATGCCGTCGATTATAACCTATTACCAGCTATATGAGTTATAATTCATAGTCAAGGACTAAATGGTCTTTATTAACCTTGATTGTATTTCTCAAACAAAAACACACAAATGAAAAACAGCTATCAGTATGCAATATTAAAATAAAAAAAATTAAAAGTATAGGTATTTCAATCATAATCATTACTTTGGAAATTAATAAATTAATACTAATTGTGTTTGGAACTCGCAATCGGATAGCAATATAACAATACTAATAATGATATAAAATATAAATATTCTATCAATCAATATACTTCTATTAAATCTAGATATTAGCACATTGATATTTTTGCAATAAATAGACAAAGTAGCTTAAATTTTCATTTTACAGTGTTGAAAATATTATGTTTACTTAAATTAATTAGCAATATCGAGAAAAGAAAATATCTATAAAAAAAAAATTCACTTTACGATTAAGAAATATTATTGAGTATATTCATTTTATATTCAGGTTCCTAACCTAATCTAACCTACTGTTTAATATTTTATAATTTAATATTCACTTAATTTTTTATGTATTTCGATAAGGTAAAATACTGTTTTACTGAAATAAAGAAAATAATAGCTCACCGCTCACTTACTTAATAATAGCTAGTTTAAGTGTATTCTGTATTCGATAACTTCGTTTCAAACTTAATATTTAGCATTTACTATTTTATTATAGAACTCCCAGTGTGGAATTACGATGGAAGCTCTACGTACCAATCTCAAGGAGAAAACTCAGATACATTTTTATATCCAGTGGCAATTTTTAACGACCCATTCAGGTTGGAACCGAACAAACTTGTCATGTGCGAAGCGTACAAACACGATCACACTCCAACTGGTAATAAAAAATATAATGTGTTATAATTGACGAATCATAAAAAAATGGTTATCACTCGTAAGAAAAATATGACTGATTCCGAATTTCACCTTTGTTTACCGGAGACGAAGATAACTATTATTGTTGATAAATAATAATCATGAAGACATTTTTTTTTTAATCTGCACATTCGTATTTTTTTTCTACCAATACACTCAATAGTCAATATTGATATTTGATACTGACTCGAGATTTGTATTCAAAAAATAGTAAGTGGGCAAGGTCATTGATTGTATAATATTTTTTAATATACAGTATATAAAAAGTATATACTTATAAGGTAAGGTATATTATTACAAATATTTTGTGGAATTATTGGTCCCTTGTGAGTGTCTCTGCTGTAAAAAGTTTCTACAAATATTAGTACCCAGGGCGAAACCATCGCTTTGCACCTCCCTCTCCCAAAAATCAATTACAATTTTGTCGAGGCGCCCTCCCCCCTATCACGTATGCCCACCCGTAACGCCAGCCCTGTCTGTAACCGTATGTGCCTAATGCCTATGTATATGGTACCTCCACGTAAACGCATTTACGGTTAAAATATCACGTCGACGCACTTAACGTAGTATACGTAATACGAAATGTCGTTATATTTTATTTATATATTTTATAGATACAAATCACCGTAAAGCCGCTTTGGAAACCATGACTAAAGCTGCCGACCAAAAACCGTGGTTTGGTATCGAACAAGAATATACGTTACTCGACACCGACGGCAAACCGTTCGGATGGCCCAAGACTGGATTCCCAGGTCCCCAGGTACGTTTCGTGTGTACGTCATGGTGGATGTTTTTATACACCTCGGTACGGTGCCGTTGCTAGGTGGGTAAAGGGAGGGGGGGGCTTCAAAGTTCAAGTCCCCTCTCCGCCGAAACATCAGACTCAATAAACCCGTTAGTACTCTGGCTCTAGCAATGAAATATCGTAGTGAAAAAAATCTGAAAAAAAATCCTAGCTACGGTACTGCCTAGGCGCATGTCACAGATCCATATATAGTACGTTATGATCAGTGGTGTTTTTGTGGGTACACGGTATACCCTTTTACCATTTGGCGAATTATTAGCCCTTTACTTATACCCTGTGAAAATAGTCAAACACTAAGCAATTCGTACCGTGTAATGTGTATTATTATTTACTTACGTATAAAATGTATCGATCATCTATAAGTTAGAACCGTTTAACAAATGATTAATATTGGTCATTATACCAGGATTCGGGCGTACAGCACTAAAGAGCACTAAAATATGCACTTATATTAAATGACCCAATTTTCTTAAAAATGTGTACTTAAAATGAAAAAAAAAAACACTTAAAAAATCATTAATATAAGGATTTATTTGATATGAATATAAAAAAATTGTGATTTAAATATTATAATTAATGAGATTATCAATGAATAAAAAATCAAACAATAAAATAGATTAGTTTTTTCACTCGCCGGGCGATAACGAATGTAGTATGCAGATGAGTACTGTCGGAAGTTTTTCAGTAAGCCATCTGAAAAAGGTGTTTAACTACATGGTTTTCGATCATTTCAAATTAGTTTTGTCGAGTATTTATAAATCACGTGCGCACGTGCAACGTTTTCGTGACAGATGGCTACACAAATAGTATTACTACACTCACTCTAATACATTGTTGTTATTAATCGTTCAACATTTTAATTAAAACATTTTGAACGATAAAAAATCCATAAATCGTTGAAAATCGTTGAATATGCTTCAGTATATCAAAAATATCCAAAGTAAAATGTTATACTTGAATTCTCGTATTAAAATAACGTATTTGCATGACACTGTGCTATGTCCTACATCATCTATGTATTATGACGGATGTACAACTATAAGTACCGAACCCTGGTCATTACTTATTATCACGTATATAACTAATAGTAGTGTACCAGTATCGTTCGTGACAGTGATTATTGCAGTTTTTTTTTTGACAGGATTTATAGAGCCGAGGGCGCCCGCTGAAATATGAACTTGCAGGGTGGGGCCGAATTTCAAAATCCCCGATAACACAGTACATACTGTTAATATTTGTTTTTTTGCGAGTGATGAAACGATTAATAATAATTAAAATAGCTGGGTGGCCATGCGGACGCCCGGGCGAGCACGGAATAATAATTTTTTTACCGATGTACGATCATCTGGTTCGATTTTATAAAATGTTCAATCCGGATAAATAAAAATGTAGAAAAATGTGTGGCATAAAAATGTATTTCTGCGAAGTTAGTGGATTTGCGAATGCAGTCCGCGAGAGCTTTGTAAAATAATAAACATACGTGGTTTTTTTCAAGGATTAAATCTGATTGGTTTTTCGCTTATAAAATCGCAAAATTCGTTGCACACCTATTTGCGTCATTGCAGCTTTGAAATCACGGACGAGCGTATACCACCTGCTATGGTTTTTTTTTTTACGAAAACACCACTGATAATAATGATTAACAACATATCATAGTCACTTGGCGTCCGCGGTGGTAAAAACTGACATTCAATTAGTATATAACAGTTTTGTATTACGTGTTTAGGGTCCGTACTATTGCGGTGTCGGCGCTGATAAAGTGTATGGACGTGACATTGTGGAGGCTCATTATCGTGCGTGTTTGTACGCCGGAATCAACATATCCGGAGAGAACGCCGAAGTTATGCCAGCTCAGGTACCTATATATATAATGTGCATACCTCTTGAGGCGTAGCCAGGGGCCAAAGGGAGCTAAAGCCCGCTCCCCCCCCCCCCAATTTACCGTGTTTTTTTTAGTCCATATCAAAAAAATAATTTTACAAAATCCCTAATTGCCCCCCCCCCCCTCCTTGTCAATCCCCATAAAAAATTCCCGACTACGCCACTGTACCTACACAGTCATTAATATTATACATTTACGAGCGTTGGCCAACGCAGATATATAATATTTGCATGTATTTTGTATTTTACAATACTTACCTACCTTTTGCTGACGTTGCATAATAATACCTAACGAATACATAACGATGTCTACTGTGGTCAGGGGTAAACGTAGATTGTTCAATTTTTTTATGGGTAACAATTGTTCGAAGATACATCGATTTTATCTTAAAAATCCTGACTTAGGTAGTTGTAGATTAAAACTGAGCGAGTTATATCGGAAATATTATAAATATGAAATTTTTCTCTTCTAAACTTCAAATATCTTTTTTTTTATTTATTTTTATTAGAAATAAACAATCTATACAATTAATGTACAATAAGCTTATGTGCTAAAAGAAAACAGGACTTGAAAATTTGATTAAGAAGCCACCCACTGGCAACACTTAGCATGACTTAAGACTTCAAATATCTAATACTATAATTAACTATACTCGTTCTAAATTTGATTTCAATAAATCAACATTTTGAAAACAGATTCTGGTTTAAAATAAGGAATAAATATCAAAGCTTAATATTTCATATTAATAATGTTTTCGTTTATGACTTATGGACATAAGCTATAATAATATAATATAAATAAAATAATTAATAATAATAATAAATATTTTTGTGCATTATATAGAGTTGATATTGGTTAAAAAATATAGCATAGATAAATACGAAATTAGCAATTGGCTGATAAGGTACAGATTTTAAAAATTGTTTAACCTATACAAAGCTAAAAAACGGGACAAAATAGTTATTATGATTGAATATTATTTTAGATGTGTATTTTATATGACTATGTTAAAAATCTTTAATGGAGATTAAATACGCGGGAATTTGACACGGAAAATTTTAAACATCACTACGCCAAGTACCTACCTATTAAATGACGAATTGAATACAAATGTTGAATCTTAAAGATGAGTTAGTATTTTTATCGGCCAACGGGATCAAGAAGTTATAATATAATATAAATTAAAAATTTGCATTTTGTGTTAAACTATAAATTGTCTAGTACCTACCTATAAATTATTATTGTAAGACAATTAATTTAATTGTTTATTTCAGTGGGAATTCCAGGTTGGACCATGTGAAGGTATTAGCATCGGTGATCATTTATGGATGGCTCGTTTCTTATTGCACCGTATTGCCGAAGAGTTTGGCATTGTGGTAACACTTGATCCAAAACCAGTGCCGGGCGATTGGAATGGTGCCGGTGCCCATTGTAATTTCTCAACTAAAGCTATGAGAGAAAACAATGGAATAATGTAAGTTATATTTTAAAAAGAGAATATAATTCTAAGCGTTTTTAATTTCTTATCTAAATGATTATCTATTGTTTCAATGAAATCGAGAAGGCTATTGAAAAATTGTCCAAACAACATGCGAGACATATTAAGGTGTACGATTCCAACGAAGGGAAAGACAACGAACGCCGTCTGACTGGAAAACACGAAACTTCTTCCATCCACGATTTCTCGGCTGGTTAGTACTTTTAGTACTTAGAAATACCTGATATATTGCCACCCTTACTTCACTAATGCGTATTAACTGCAAAAGTAGAAAAAGCTTTAGAACATTTTTTAAAAGTTCTATTTACACGTCTATATCTATTAAAACTTATGAAAAAAAATAGTTCATACAATGTTAGGTACAGTATAGTAACAAACCACAGCCTGTAACTGTTATTTTTTAAATTAATAATTTGCATAAACATTAAACATTCATTTTTAGTTGCAACATTAAAATTTAACAAGATCAGCAATTTTTTACTCGAAAACAAGTAAAAATGATCTTAACAAAATCCTCCCCCCCCCCCAAAAAACTGAGTTGTGAGACTAAGTTCACACTATCATCTGTACAATTATTAAAAAAGTGTTTGTAATTGTTCTAGGCGTGGCCAACCGTGGTGCTAGTATTCGTATTCCTCGTACTTGTGCCGACGAGAAGAAGGGTTACTTAGAAGATCGTAGACCAGCGTCCAACTGCGATCCATACAGAGTGACCGAAGCCATTGTGCGCACCGTGTGCTTAAATGAATAAATAAAATATTAAGAAAATAACCTGTAATACTGCAAGATAAACATAAAATATATCGCCCCGCTTTGGATAAAAAAAAACATTATCTGATGTTTATAATAATATATAACCATTGTTAGGCACATTACATTATAATATATAATATTACAGTTTTAAATTCAAGACCAAAAACAATATTGCATTTTAATGAGTGTCACTAAAAAGATACGTTGATTAAATATTTTCTATTATTTATGCACTGCGCTTCCGACTTACACTTTACACAGAATTCAAGTATAACATTTTATTATTGTTTTATCCAACAGTGACCGCATCAAACGATCACAGCTAAAGGACCCACATTCGCCATTTCCTATCACTTATATATTATGGCATAACATAGTTTCTATATTTCTACATCTACTAAGACTTATTGGCTAAGATTTAATACTAAATTTGTATTATACATTTCATAAGTGTTAACATAACCAGTAACCTACTTAATAGTTTTAATACCACTTCAATGCATTATATTTAAACTTAAAACTATAAATTACACTCACAGTAATTACCTACAAATTATAATACACGTTCCGAAAACAATCGAATAATATTCCGAACACACTCCAGCGGAGTAAGTCCTTATTTTATGCCGATTCGACTAAAATTACTTAGTAAAGCAGCAATTGATATTACCATTAGAAACTGTAAGTCACTTTAATATAATAGTAAAACAATGGTTATATATTCGTTAATTTGATTGAATTCTTTACATTAAGTCACATATGACATATATTTTATTGGGCTAAAAATGTACCTATACATTTTTATATTATACTAGTTGGGAAAAATCTTTTAGAATTCACACCTGATAATTTTATAACAAAAAAAAAAATATTTTATTCTATTTAATTATCTTTACACATATTTTTTTTTACACTTATTTTGCTTTTACTAACAAAAAACGTATCTAGAATTTGAAATCAATTGCACACACTAACATAATAATCATTGCACAATTTTTTTTCTTAAATTTAGGAGTTCAGTTAAAAGTGTAATAATTATAACGCCTAAAAATAAAAATAAATTATTATTCTTATAATATTAATACAAAATGTTTATGTTTATATATTATTCAAGATCCAACATACCTCAATGTAATATAAAATAGATATTTTAGCATTTTTAAAAATAATTATTCCAGTTAGGAATGAAGTTTAAATGATATGAATTTTGTGTATAACAAAAATTGCAGTTAATGTTGTTGCGCGGCTAACACACATAATAGTACATAACTTATTTATGTTTATTAATCTTCTTCCAAAGAACTAGTGACGAAAATTGTCGGAAGAATCAATCTTCTTAAATTATATAGTATATATTGTGTTTCCTGAATAATTATGGTGTTTACTATAAATATAATAGTCCTCATCCAAAAATGCTGTTGTCGCCGGCTTAAGGTGGAGCGAGGCCTGGGCATCTATGTTTTATGTGTTAAATTGAAATAATGAATAATTATACTGTTTTCAATGAATAGACTAACAAGAAAGTGTTGATTTTAATTACACTTAAGGTATAATTACAGTAAAACTTCCATAATAACGAATTTCTATTTAACATTTTGAACACTTTGGACATTTAACGTTTGATATTAAAATAAAATATTTTTGAGAGTCAAACCAAATTTATTTAATATTGCGCGCACGCCTACGCTGGCTGTACAGATAAAATAAAATTGATAAAATATACAAATCAAAACACTAAATGTTTTAATTGTTTTATATCATATTAAATATATTGTATACATAATATTTTATATACATGTTTTGAGCAAATATAAAGACACGTTGTCCGGCGTATTGTATAGGCAAGACATGAGGCACTCCAGTGTTCTATAGCACTATAAAAGGCACTAAAGCGTTCTATACATTGTTTAAATATTATAAAATATAATTTTCAAATTTTATATAATTGCGAAATTTTTTTACTAAACAGTAAACTTTAAAAATGTGAATTGATATTGAATAGTGATATAATTGGTTATTTTACTGTCGCTGTATGAAGTGTATCGTTCTGTCATTATTGTGCATGTGTTTGATACTCTGAACTTTGATTATAATTTTTTATAGGATAAGTTGATTCAGTTTATAGTACATTTAAGAATGTTATATACATATAACGTTCAGTAATTGTTGCAATAGCACATTGTAGCACATTTTACTTCATTACTAAAATTCACATGACGTGTCATTTCATACCATAATATTATATTATGCACAACTTGCTGAACTCTATTGAGTCAGTGCCTATTACGTAATATGTGCCTACCTAATCAGCATGTATCGGAGTAGATACTGGGTAGATAGTACGTGAGTCAAAAGTTAGTCACTTGTGATTTTTGCGTATAGAAGTTTTTTTACCTACTATTAAAAATGTGCAAATAATGGAAATCTATAGTTAAAATTGCTAAAAATTAACTGCGAATTAAAAATTGTCAACGAGAAGGGGAAACATAAAAAATTAGTTTATTTTATGGACCCAGGTGAAAAAAAATTGGCAGCCAATACTGTGTTATATTTTTTTTTAAAGTGTATCGAAAGAGGGCGCCATAAGTGTAAAAGGCGTGTAATGCAATGGACGTAAAATAAAACTAATAAATGCTGCCCTGCAGGTGGAGCTGCGAATTAAGCACCGGGGCGAGCGTGCTCATTTGAGAGTAGAGAGAAAAAAACAATTTTAAAGAAAACGCGATTTGTGTTTGCCCGGACGACGGACGGAGGGGAACACGGGTACGTTTGGTGAGATCGTTGGCGTTTTGTTTTCAAAAAAAGACGCGCGACTGCCGCCCACCGGTGGTTGGTAATAGGAGCAGGCGCGGCGGGAAAACGATGTTTGAATTCAAATGTCGTTTTCCCGGGTCCGTGTCAAAATCAGTTGTTCAGCATTAGAAGAATCGCAACTGGCTCTTTCAGTTGTACATAATTGTCGAGTTATATACACACATATATATATATATATATGAATTATATTATGTATAGTAAAAATATAATAATTACTTAACCACATTCATTTCCGATTAGGCTCGAGATGCCGTTCTCACCACAGGTTGTAATCCAGGTCATCGGGCCGTAACACCGGCATCAAAATAAATGCTCTGTAGAGCAGACTTGTAAAAAATACTTTTTTGAAAAACTATTTAAAAAATATATTTTACGAATACTCAGTAAGTATTTGAATACGAATACAGGTATTTTTTTGAAATCGTAGGTTTACTGTACAATGATTAGGTCTCGGATTTTAAAGCAAATGCTGCTCTTTTTTAACACTTTTCTTAAGTTTGGTTTCACGTCTGTCTGTGATCAAATCTTGCGCGCTCGATTTGAGGCACTTTTTGAAGATGAAAAATTCTGAAAATTGGTATAGACCTTGGTCTTGGATGACAATACAATAATCCGTTGTCATTTTGGGACATGGACCAAAAAAAAAAAAAAAACGGGCAAGACATTCTGTAACGTTGACGCTTTGGATGAAATCGACAGAATGAGACAACATCGTCCCAATATATCAGAAGCAATTGTAAATGACGGACAATAAATTATAAGTACTGTCAAATAACAAAATATATAATACACATAATGGTCTCATAATGAAATTGTTAATATAAAAAAATTTCAATTGGTTGTGGCAAACAAAATAAATGTCTTGTCATTTCACGACCACATAAACTTATTTATTTATAAATAAATCATAATCACCAGTAGTTTGATTCTTTTTGATTCACAAACATATTTCTTAAACGTTTAATAAAAATATTTACTTTCAACTAAAAAGTAGAAAATAAAAAATAAAAATAAAAATTTTAAAAACACTTTTCCATAAAAACATTTAAAAAAAAATTTTAAAAATTGCACTAAAAAGACAAAAATAATTCTCTGTACTTAAAAATAATGAAAAATTTAAAAGTGTGTGGTGCATCATACAAAACATTAAAAGCCGAGCTAAGTCTCACATACACTTCTTTGTTCAATCCTGTTTATAAGATAGTGACTGGCAGTATATGTCAAGTATAAGAGCAAAATAATGAAAAATTTACTGATGAAAAATTTAAAAGCCAAGGAAAGTCTCACATACACTTCTTTGTTCAATCATGTTTATAAGATAGTGACTGGGAATATATGTCAAGTGTATGAGCACCACACACTTTTAAATTTTTCATCAATAAATTTTTCATTATTTTTAAGTACAGAGAATTATTTTTGTCTTTTTAGTGCAATTTTTAAAATTTTTTTTTAAATGTTTTTATGGAAAAGTGTGTTTTTAAAATTTTTTTTTTTATTTTTTATTTTATATGAGATAGAAATTTAATTTTTATGCATAAATTCGTTCCACGTCATTCTGATTCCAAATAAGCAAATTTATTTTTGCTTCTTTCGGGTTTTTTTGTGTAAATGTTTTTTTTATTACTTTTTTCAGTTATTCCACCTATGGAATTAAATATTTAATTATATGTGTATTAAGCTAAAGTAACAAAAAAAAAAAATGTAATTAATAAGAAAGGCGAAAACCCGGAATATGCACTACATTGTTATATTGGATTATTACTGTTTTCGTTATCGGCTTGATTGTTAAATTTATTAAAAATATGCAGATTGTCAGTGGATAAACAGCGTTCGTTGTTTATGTATAAAAAAATTTTATCAGACTATAGAGTCAATGTCACTACTGCAAATCTTGCAAAATTCGTGGTAATTAGTTCTTAATTAAATTTAAATTAATTTTTCAATTTTTTTATTCACTCGCATTACTAATTCGTGTACATTTTTAGCAACGTTTTTTTTGCTTTTTTTAAAAATGAATATAAGTACTTCATTTTGCTTTTTTTTATTTATTATATGCTCTACAACCCGAGTCCTAATATTATATAATAATAATATGTGTATCAATGTCAACATATATATTATTATTGTCGTTCATTTTGTAACTGCTTACCATAGATTTTAACAATTTCACAAAATATACCTATACCATAATACATGTCTGATGATTTCCAAACAACAATACCAGCTAATACAGTGAATTCTTCTGGGAAGCATCTAAACCAACA